ACACGGCTTGAGGGACACGGCTTGAGGGACACGGCTTGAGGGACACGGCTTGAGGGACACGGCTTGCTCTGCAGCAGACATCTTGTCAGAAATGAAAAAGTTTATTTCCAATATTGAACACATACAGTATGCTGTTTTTAACAAATGTAAAAAAAGTGCATTATGCCTTAACACAGTAAAATAAACTTTGACTTAAATTAAAAAAGTAAAAATAAAACAAATGTGTCACAATTGTCATCCTCTTTGATATTTATGCTTTTACAGCCTGCAGTCTTCATGTTAATCACAGGCCAAGCTGCAGACCCGTATGCGTATCAGGAAGGATAGATCCCTCTCTTTGTCAAGGGCTGTTGGCTAAGATGAGGTCATATTGTAATCATGTGACTTCCTAATGCTTAGAGCATCTATTTACCAAAAGTCTATATCCCAGGTTTGGATGGGGAAAAAAAACAAAAACAGAAACAGCAGTTGAATATAAGAACAGCAATGTGTTTTGGGTGCGTTTTGTGAGAGAAATCATTCTCCCCCATAAAATGGTAAACAGGTACCAGAATGACTTGACCACACTCCAGTTTCCACCCACCAAATTTACTGCTAATCATCCAGATGTCACCAAAGATGGTCATCAAATTGGGAGTGGATGAGCAGCTGCAGCCAGCGCCCCCTTGTGGACACCAGCCAAACTACACGGCACATTAACAGCGTGATAGCACCAATGGGGTGCCTATACCCAGGGCGTCGTCACCAAAGGCACTTATGTCTGTGCATAACAAAGACGTGTTGACTAGGAGGGCCCAACGAGCTAAGCCAAGGCACGCCCTCATGTCCATGCACAGTGTTTGGTACGGACGGGCCTGCTGCTCGAACCAAAGGCTCTACGAAATGCTTCAGGGGGTCTCAGTAGGGACCGGCCTTCGCTTGAGCCTCTGGCCAGCGAGCTCTGGCTTCTGTGAGAGCCGCCCAGGCTATCCACACACACCCACACACACACAGCAGCCGTGTTCATGTGCGTCTATGAGCTACAGGGGGCGCCTCATCACGGTGAGACCATATTAGAACATGATTTAAACAGCTTATCCTTGGTGAGTCCAGTGATTCTTGCTTGTGCTGTGGGGGGGTCACATTTTTGCACTCTGAATGCGTACAGCAAACCAAAATAGTTTCCAGCTCTACAATTACGAACATTAACTAACTTCAAGAACATTCCCGTCATTTTTAATGGCCAATTTCACACACTAGGCACGAAAGAAACACTCGGCCAGGAGGATGTCATACGTCGTATACAGTCGTAGATGTTCTGTAACTAAATACTCATCTTTTGTACATAGTCATTACACACATGCACACACAAAGGTAGTGGACAAACCCTGTGAACCTGCAGGTAGCTGGGTGTCTGTGTGCACAGTGTGCACAGTGTTAAGCAGGGTCTGCTACTGAGGCGTTCAACTGACTATCAACACCCCCCCCCCCGACCCTGGATCTGCTCAGTGGCACGGTGTCTGCAGGGCACGTGCAATCAAAAATGCGAGGAGCTGTCAGCAAACTCAACGAAACCTTGGGTGCAAAGTTGTCCGGGGCTGCTTGCACGGGGACCACCTTTAGAAGGTCAAACAGTTCTCCTCTATTTGGCCCAAAGTCAAATCTAATCGTCGTCTGGGTCCAGAGTCACTAAGCGTGAGGCTTTTCCACCTTGCTGCATCAACTCCTCGTGGCATTACCAGCTGTCCCTTGATTGCTTACACGTTTACGGAGTATGTGCATGGGGGGGGGGGGGGGAGGTTCTAGGGGTACGAACTGATCACTCTTTTCTCACCTTCTTCTGACATATGGAGGGATGAGGAAAACAGGCTCTCTCGCCACTCGCACCAAAGTTTATGTCAACGTCAGTAAACCTCTGAACGGGGATTCAAGTGGCCCGGTCGGCCTGGAAGAGCTAGTCCAGCGAGATCAAAATGAGGAGACCCAACGAACCAGTGGAGGTCCTCATCTTTGCTGTCAAACTGCTTCCTCTGCGTGAGTCAAGTGAACGTACGTCAACGGTCATGCCCTGCAGATCAGGCGGATGCCGGATCGCTCAGTAATTATACTTTTCAAGCAGCGTGCGTTTTCTTTTTCTTTTTTTAGACAAAAAACAACAAGCAGGAAGAAAACAAACTTGGATGAAACTGCCCGTCAAAAACAGCGAAGGGAGAAAACACAACAATATGATGAAGATTCACAGACTGCAGTTTCAGAATGGATCAGTCAGCTCTCTGACTCACGACCTGCGGAGCTAGAGATGAGCTGCGGAGACGCTTCAGGGAGGAGAGGGTTAGAATAACGAACTGTATACCAGCGACACCCACTTTCAAGCCCCAGCAGGGGGGCCCAGTAGTTCTTGCTACAGGTAGATATTCTGCCTCTGACTAACAGAAATCATAACCAGATGAGGTTAGTGCTGTAAAAGGCGATTCAGCAGACATGTGACCCAGACTGTTCTTCTCCTACCTGTGCAGGTTTTAAGAATCGTCTACATGATGTGGATAGCAGTTAGTCCGTTCACCAAAAATCAGCTATTAGACTCGTTCGCCATTTAAAGACGCTCTCAGGCACATTACCGAACGGCTCATATGTCATTCAAAGCAGACGGCTCATCTGTTAACTGATTGGGGCAGTTTGGCACTTGCAGAACGTGACTGAAAAAGCAGTCACCCTAATGAAGAATACACAGAACTTAGTCATGTGTTCCTAAGAGGCCTTTAAACCTACCCTTCCTGTCTAGCTCAGAATTATACGGTATATGATACCTGGCAATTGAACGGTCTACAATTACCACATCTAGCAGTATAATTAAACTAAGTACCAGGATGGACAATAAATCAGCTACTAAGCATTAATTATCTTTTATCTACAGCCTGTCAAAAATGATCCACAACTCTTACACCATCTGTCTTGCTGTTCGGAAAGCAGGAATGTACCGCATCTGCAGAAGGAAGGGGACAGGAAGGGAAAGACCTAAACAGGAAGTGACAGCATGGGTGCCTGGGGCTGTGCTGCTGGAACAGCAAGGGGGTCCACATGAGGTTTATCGGCAAACATTCATGGTTCTGTCAGTAGCCTGTAGATCTATCCTTTTTTGGCTTATCTTACATTACTCATCAATCTGGAATTATAGCACTACAGACCCCGCCCCCATGCATGTCGCAGGAGAACTGCAGCACTACAGACCCTGCCCCCATGCATGTCGCAGGAGAACTGCAGCACTACAGACCCCGCCCCCATGCATGTCGGAGGAGAACTGCAGCACTACAGACCCTGCCCCCATGCATGTCGCAGGAGAACTGCAGCACTACAGACCCCGCCCCCATGCATGTTGGACGAGAACTGCAGCACTACAGACCCCGCCCCCATGCATGTTGGACGAGAACTGCAGCATTACAGACCCCGCCCCCATGCATGTTGGACGAGAACTGCAGCATTACAGACCCCGCCCCCTTTGCATGTCGCAGGAGAACTGCAGCACTACAGACCCTGCCCCCATGCATGTTGGACGAGAACTGCAGCAATACAGACCCCGCCCCCATGCATGTTGGAGGAGAACTGCAGCACTACAGACCCCGCCCCCATGCATGTAGGAGGAGAACTGCAGCACTACAGACCCCGCCCCCATGCATGTAGGAGGAGAACTGCAGCACTACAGACCCCGCTGGAACTGCAGGAAAAACAGTGGGGAGCCAGTTACTGGATTATTTACCATCCAGACTAAATTGCATTGCTTCCTTTGGCTGTTTTTTAGAAGCTCGACCAGTGCACCCCCTGCAGGCTTGAGATAGAACTGCAAAGTGCCAGGCAGCAGCCCCTATTCTCTAGGCTGAGGGTCTATGGAGGGGGAATCCCTTGGCAAGATGGTAAGGCTGCCCTGCTTGGCCAGTGCAGAGGGCATCGTCACCCCAAGTTTCTGTAGGTGAGCTTCTGTCCCAGTGGGACTAGGCTCCCTGACCCCACTGGTGTCCATCTCCATGTCCTCGACGGGGGCTACACCCTCCACATTCATGCTCTTGGCCTGTTTTTGGACCAGACCGGGCTGCTCAAGCTGCACCTGGTGCTGTCCCGAGTCCCCTTGCGCCGGAGGCCGGTCTGCCCCAAGGCTGAGCTCCAGCAGGGTCAATTCGCTCGTGGCGGAAGCCGGCCGGCATCCGGCGTCTCCCTCCTTTCTGTCGATCTGCTCATCCTCCTGCAGATCCTCCATGGCATCAGCCTCTAGGGGGCAGAGCGAATCCCCTTCACAGCTCGCTGACAATCCCGGCTGCTGGCGGTAGGCCTTGAAGTGTAAGGCTGGGGGTGGGGCTTGTACAGCATGACATGGAGCGGGGGCAGAAACCAGGGTGTTCTTGGCGATGCAGCCGAAGCGGGCGGAGTTAAGGCGCCGGCTCCGGTCAGTGGTGGCCGCCTTGTACCCGCGGCCGGACAGCATGCGGTGGCCGTCCGGACTGGGCTGGTAGGAGGGCTTCACTTTGTAAGGCTTCCCGATGCTAGCACTGTCCTAAACAGAAGACAGACGGAGAGGGACAGTTGAGGGACATGCGAGGGAGTTGAGGCAGAGTGTGACTGAAGGCGCATAAACCACGTGGCACCACGGCCGTCCGGATTGGTCACAAAGTCTCATACATATGGAATTCGCGCTACCAAAAAAAAATCTTACAATCTTAGAAAAATCTTACAGGTCACCAAAGGTCGAGAAAAGAGGAATAGAGAGCAGAGTCATCTCAGCCTTCAGTCCCCCCCGGACGGTAACACTAATATAAATGTCCACACTCACATCAAAGCCAGATGGACAGCTCCGCTTGGCACTCAGCCGGTTGCTGTTGTTGGCGTTTTCGTTGTTGAAGCGGTTTCGGGCTGCCAGGGAGGCGGAGCTTGACGCCAGCCTGCCGTTGCCATGGTCAGGGGCCCTCCCCTCTAGCTGGGCCGCCTCCGTCTCCTCCCGCACCACGTCCTCCTCGTCCTCCTCCTCCACGGTGCTGAATTCCAGCCGGGCACGTAGCTCCTCCAGGGGCTCCCTGTGCAGGTGAACCAGGGGTCCCCCGCGGCCCCCAAAGCCGGCATCATCCAGCAGGGCATCCCTCTCCACATCCTCCACCTCGATGTAGACCGTAGGGCCCCCCGGGGTTCGGACCGGGGTGGACGGCTCGCTGTCCAGAGCAGAGTCGGAGAGGCGCCGGAAGCAGTAGTTGAAGTTAGGGGGGTCGGCGGGGTCTACCTCCGTCCCAACAGCCCTGCAGGAAGCACCCCCCCACGAGGAGTCGTGGGGGGGAGGTGCTGCGGTCACGTCGTCTGGATCGTCAGCGCCCTGGCTCTGGGTCGAGCCTTGCGGCCCGTCCGGAACGTCAGCGTATGGGCCGGAACCCCACAGCTTATTGTGCCGCTGCTTGCTGTTAGCAGAGCATAGTCGCGGTTAGATTATACAATAAACACAACACTTTACATACATAACTTCTTCCGCGTCTTGATAATGTAGACAAATTTGTAGGCGGAACAAGGATTACTTGAATTTCCTATCCGTCAAAGATCTTGACAAAGTTTGTTTAGTATTAAATTTCAGTTTGAACTATGACAAAAATTAAACATGGAAGCATGCACTCTTCTATGTCCCCCTCTAGTGGCAAGGCTGACAACCAACACCCGAGTTAATCATTCTCACTATGTCCAAGCCTGGATTCAAGGATTTTGGCTCCACGGTAAAAACCCGGCGGGAAACAGGTAGACAGACCTGGCATCCAGGATGCCCTCGTACACGGCCAGCTGCCTCATGAAGCCGGCGTTGGGGCAGGCGATGCTCCTCTTCTGCTTGACGAAGCTGTAGGCCTTGTCCAAGGACCAGCCGTACTCCTTCATGGCGTAGGCGATCACCGTGGAGGCGGAGCGGCTCACGCCCATCTTACAGTGGACCAGGCACTTAGAGTGGTTCTTTCTGAGGAGACATCCAGCAGCCTGTTATAGCTCGCCGACGTCTGCGAAGGTCCAACCCACAACGCAGACCTCCCTGCAGACGCCCCCGTGCAGACACCTCCCGACGCTTCCCCTCCGCCTAACGTTTCCCCAAAGCACCCCAGGCGCTCTGCCTCAGCTCACTTGGCTCTCACGATGAAGTTGTATGTGTCGTTCCAGTGGGCCAGCAGGTCGGCTGCCTCCTCATCATAAACCCGGATGTTGTAGTAGGCGAAGGTCCCGGGAAAGAAGTTATCGATCTCCCGTGTGACGTTGAGGATGTAGCCAACTCTGGAAAAGACCATGAAACCTGTTTCATTATTCCTGTCTTTACTGGTCAAATCCCAGACCGCCCTATTTAAATTGTACTGTATACCACAGGGTTTCGTAAATGGTATATTGTGGGAATTGTACACTGCTGTCGTTGGGACTTCAGTGTCGCGTATCAGGGGAGAAGCTGACACGTTGGTGAGGCTGCCACCTTAAAAGTCTCAAGGCGATGCACTCGTGGGAGAGCCAGACTCACCCTGAGTTTTGGAGCTCCTCCAGGTTCGAGGCGTTCCACTCTGAGCCCTGAAACAGCCAGGGGGGAGCAGAGGCATTATACGAGAGCGGAGACGGCACACGGTGTACGTCACACGACACCTTTAAGATCAGCATGTCACCCAGGTGTTCTCATGATCCATCCTTACTTGGGCAATGTTCTAAAATTCTCTCAAAATGTACAGCCCCATTAAAGTAAGAAATTCCAGAATGTTCCCTGGAAGATGAGACACCCCTCCCTGCCTTTTTCTACACCCGCCCTCCAAACAGAATTCCGTTTGCTCCGTGGAACCCATAGAAACGAGCATTTAATGACAGGAATTCGTCCCGGGCAGCAACTCTGCTCATTATACTGCGGTTTGCTTGGTTTTCCCCGACACGGCGACGGCCTCGAGTGCCGTACCAGATAGAGGTGGTCGAAGATAGGCGTGGCCTTGTCCATCTGGCCCAGGATGACCAGCATCTCGTTATCAATGAACTCCTTGTACTCCTTCAGGTTGCAGTTCATTTGCTGCTCCAGGTCGGTACGGATCTGGACCGGACGGGCAGATGGGGGATAGAGTATAAGGGTCTCTGATTCTACGGCCTTCCCCAGACCCCCTGAGCCAATCCCGGCTTCTCCTACAAGTCACCATTCCTTACTTCTTTGGAGGTAACATTTTCCAGATCCTGGGACATCATGATGCTCCGGAGCTTGGCTCTGACGAGACACTCCGTCCGCTCCCTCTCAGTGGGCCTGCAGTGGGACAGAGCACCACGTCAGGAAAACCCTGCTGGCCGCACCTGCCATCCTCCATCACCCAGAAACGCTGGAAGGCGCCCCCTGGTGGTAGACTAGAGAAACTTTCCGGGCTTAAAAACCACTGCCGGTTAATATACAAGACATCAAGGATCATTATACTAAACTGTATTTAAAGACTCTGCTAAACTTTCTAAAAACATGACTTGCCAGCATGTTCCCTTCAGCTAATGCAAACCCTGATAGCCCCCCAGGGTTTTACGCCCAGGTGGCCCCACCTGTCGGCATAGAGGGCCGGAGAGTCGGGGCGCGTGGTCTCCAGGTCCTTCATGGAGTTCCACTCGTTAATGCAGCTCTGCTCGGAGGCCAGGCAGCTCTCGTAGTAGCCTGTCCAGGACAGCGCTATGCCCCCGGGGAAGTAGTTGTGTCGGCGTGACACCTCGCACACCTTGTGGAGGATCTGCAGGGCCGACCTGCCGTGGGCAACCAACGGTCGGACGCATCAGTGGGGAGAGTCACGACACGGTGTCCTGCTGCCAGACCCGCATCGTTAAAGAAATACCCCCCACCAGAAAAACGGGGTTTTGCAAGCATTCTGGGCACCTGAACCAGAAACCTTGGTGAACTGTTCTAGAAACTGTTTTACCAGCCTCCTCCAAACCGCTTCACTGTTTCCAGCACGATCCGTAATCCCCCCTCAGCTCCTCGCTGATTGGACATCTGGCCCACTCACCACATGGCCTGCACCGACACCGGCTTGAAGATATGCGTCCTGCCCGCTGTGGTCACGCTGAAGCCGCTGTGGACAGACGGGAGAGATGACGCCATGTCAGATGCCTGACGGAGGGACGCACGGCGAGGGGGGGCTCCGCCAGTCTGGCCTCCTATAATGAACTCACTTTGCATGGTTGCTTACTTGTACAGCCATATCCTGGCCTCTGCCAGGCTACTGTCCAATTCTACTAATGAACTTAACTCTTAGATAAACAAAACACAAAAGGACAGATTGGGGACTAACAGGTACCCAACTAAAACGAAAAAAGCAGCTTTTTTAGTTGAGAGATGGTTTGGTGAGTAAAGGCTAGCACATGTTAGCCCAGGGAATATTTTTTAAAAGCTGTTATTTTTAATTTTATTTTCTCCAGCACAGGCATTTCATCAGCAGGCAGATCGATCTTGGGGAGCCAAAAAGGGGAACCTTCTTCGCTGGAAGCTAACAGGCTAGCAGCTAACGGGCGCGTGTGCTCATTGGACGGCCCTCTGGTCGCTCCTCCGCAGGATGCAGTTACTCGATCCGGCAGTGTTATTCATTCGCGATGTTGGATGACTCACCCGTCCCCATCCAGGTGGATCTTTGTGTCGCTCCACAGCGGCAGGACCAACCCAATGGAGCAGCTTTTGCTAGAACAAACCACAGCAAACGGACGGGGTTATAACCAGCAGGGTGAGCTATAGCAGACGTGGGGGGGGGGGGGGGGGGGGGGGGGGGGGAGAGGGGTGAGGTGTACCTGTCTTTGTTTGTGAAATCCATGCCCAGGAGGACACTCTCTTCAGCGTCCTGCCGGCCACTGGTGTAGACCACAACCATGTACCTGACACGGTCGGTCTGCACACTCTCTAGACGTACGGCCTGGGGGGTGGGGCGAGGGTGTTAAATGCGTTCTGACACATTCACAACTCAAATGAGTCACAGAAACTACACACACTCGCACTCACACACACACACACACACACACACACAGAGGTTTGTATTCATATTTTCGTGGGGACTCTCCATTCATTTCTATGGGGAAAACTCCAATCCCAGAATGACCACCTTAAGCCCTACCCAGCCCTAACCTTAACCACAAGTAACCAAACAAAATACGAGACATTTTTCCTTTTTCGACTACATTCATATATTTTTATAAAATTCAGGTTACCCTTGTGGGGTACGGAAAAAAACATGTCCCCACATGGTAAAAGGTTACAGGTTTTTTTTTCACATTTCACAAATACAAGCACTAACAGTGGACACAGACAGACACACAAACACACACACACATGCACTCACATAGACAGACACACAAATACACACACACAAGCTGAGGACTGCAGTGTGAGTCTCACCAGCTTGATTTTGTCCTCTGAACGCAGGATGTTAATCATCACCTGGAGGTGCTGCGGCAAGTCCCCTGTTGGGAGAACATTAGAACGTTAGGCAAGTCCCCTGGTGGGAGAACATTAGAACCTTAGCGCCACCCCACCTCACATGCCTGTTTTCCATTGATCTACCAACTCGATAAAATTGTACACAATAAAAATCTTTTTACAAGATTTGCCAGAGTGCTTATGGGACTGATTTATCATACGACAGCGCCTCCTACCGCAATCACCCAGTATCACAGCCCAGTATGGCCACCCATCCCTCATACACAGAGCCCGTCCCAGTCAGCAAGCCCATATCTACAGCCGCGTGGAGACGGACACTGCAGGCAGACTGCGCTTGTCCAGGAACGGGACGGCAGGGAGGAGGGGGGCAATCCAGCCCTGTGGGCCAAGCCGAATGGGGCCAGGAAGACCGAGCAGTAACCATAGGTGTTGTGGGCACATCTGGGACTCCTCTAATCCGACGGGATGCTTGAAGCTACAGCATAGACACCGGGTGGGAAAGTCAGAGAGGCATGTCCCTGGCCCAGTGCCTCCATTCGGGACCCCGGGGGGAGAAAACACGACACTGCAGCAGAAGTGAAATAAGTGCAAACTCTAGTTAAAAAAAAAAAAACAATGGCCGCCTTAGTTATTGCGGTCATGACATCAGCTATAACGGATGAAAAACAGATGTCATAAACCTCTCTCTGGAAGGTGCACGGCGAACACCGGCCACGCGACCCGCCCTTTCGCAGAACCTGCACCGGCGGGGGGGAGCGAAGCCGTTTCAGCCGAAACCTGGCAGCCTGTGAGCGCGGGAAACGCCCCGCCGCGGACATCCTGAACACGCTGAGGAGTCCGGGGAGGTCAGGTGCATGTGTGGGGGCAGGGGGGCAGGGGGGGCGCGCTTGTGTAAGGGGTCAAATACAGATGCGTTTATTCCCAAGTGTTGATGTGCATCTTTTTATATGCACACATTGCATACATTTTTAAAGTAGGTTTTTTTTTGTGAGGTAATGTCTCATCCTCGTCATCGTCCATACACACACACACGCACACACACACGCACGCACACACGCACGCACGCACGCACGCACACACGCACGCACGCACGCACACACACACACGCACACACACACGCATGCACGCACACACACACGCACGCACAAGCCTCAGCGAGCTGCATTCTGTGCCTGCTGGCTCGAACCCCAACCTAGCGCTGCGTGTTGAGTGATCCCACCCGGGTGCTGCATCGCCACATCACCCCTTCGCTATGTAATTTTTTTTAAAAAGAGACGCTTTATTACTTTCCCACATTCTGCCCCAACTCTCAGTCAAATGCATCACGTGGATCCGTGAGGTCTGGTCAAAGACGGCCCCGTGTCTGACTCCGTGAACTTGTCTTTTCGTTGACCAAGTATCACGGGGATGGAGAGGTGTGATGTCATGTCGCCTTCACCCCCGACACCCTCAAGCGCCCCTGCCCCCGGCATCTGGCCCGGTGCCCACCTGCACGCTCCGCCCCCCTGCCACATACCGCGAGTTTGTACGTCAGCTGGCGGCCGGTCGGACCGGATCGGCCGGGTTACGCCACAGCGTGACGGAAAACATAAAAGGTCCCTTTTGTTTGACATGAACTCTACTTCCAACTCACATTGTGAACAAAAGTATTGTTTAAACAAAAAAATATATTATTTTCATTATACTCATTATACTGAGCAAACTGACAGGTTTAACCCTGGTAATGGGCCACTACTGCCTGTCATGTGAGAATGCAACTAGATCCTTACTGGGGCAGCTGAGCTAAAATAAAGGCAGATGCCCTGTGAGGAACTTCCCATATGGAAAGAGGCCCCCCAGCTGCAGTTACTCAGGATCGCCCTCTGCTGGATACAACTGACAGCATTCCCAAATTCTAGATTCTCCTCGGCTTGAAAATCAGGAGGGTCCTGGAGGGTGTGGCCCCCCGGGGCCAGCCGTCACTCACCTGCATGCCTGTGCTGGGGGACGGCCCTCTGGCCAGTTGGGAGGGCCTTCTGGCCTTGCTGCAGGAGCAGAGCCGCATCCCTCACCATGAAGAAGCTCTCGCTCAGGCTGAAAGACAAAGCGCAGGGTCAGGCCGGGCACCCGTTTTCAGCATCCCCTCCGGACCCCCCCTAGCCTGCCTCTGTGCACCTCCCGTCTCATGCTGCCCTTCCGTCTCACAATTTTGGCCTCTGCGGTTATTGAGACATTTTGTCTCCCGCTGCTGGGGCAAACCCTGCCTCCAGACTGTCTGTGGTAGCGGCCTGTTTGATTCCCATCTGATATTTACCACCGCAGTACAGGAACCCGGTGCACGCGCGAGCATGTGAGAGTGTAACACTCACTGAGCGAGCTCTTAGTTTATCGGCGTTCAGTCACGGCGTGTTAACGCTGCCACAAAGATAACACGGAAGGAGATTACACACCGCGACGTCTGTCACCACTGTTTTGCGTGACACGTGTATGACGCGAAAGGCTTGCCAGAGATTTCTGAAACATTCGCAGAAAGAGTTTCCTAATTAATCGCTAGAAAACATTAAATGTGAATAGAAGCTATACAAGTGTATTCACACATTGAACTTCTCAAGTTCAAGTTTTCCAGTAATAAGCAGGCTTTTCCCCCATTAGAGGTCACTGGCCAAAAATGGGAAGAGAACCATTGTCTGTCGCGTCTGGCCTCTCTAGTTACACATACGCACAGCCCACCTCCCAAGCTGCAACTCAGCACGAGAGACTGGACAAGGCAGGAGGCAGCCTCTGCTTTGTGCATCATTGCACCAATCCCTTCTTTTTGCCACCAGGGCGGCGCTCACAACACCAAAGGGTTCTCCTTTTGAAAAGCCCCCCGTTTCTGCCCTCCGCTCTGGGTGTGAAGGGGCTAAAGCAAGGCTCTCAGGACGTCAGCACTGAGAGGAACGTGAGAGGAACATCGATTCTATCTCCCAGTCAGAGCCATACTCAGCTCTGCCCTCACACTCAGAAGCCCAACTTCTCCTTACCGCCCATTAATGTAGAAGTGTGAGAACAGAGTCACAGACACCAAGGACAGAGTCACAGACACCAAGGCTGCTTCTCCTTTCAGACTCGGCTTATCAGCCTTACATCTGCAGAACCAGGCAGTAAATGTAAAACATTCTGCTGATAATCTATCACATAAACAATCTGCCTCTGTGTGCTTTTTTCTCCATGTTAATTCTGCTTTCTGCTGAATTTAAATTGCAGTCACAACATGCATTAATCTCGGAAAAATGCACCAGTAACCAATCAAAATGCAAACACACCTTCAGCGAATCACCTGTGGGCTACATGCCTGCCCCGATTTCGTTTTAAACTGACACACACACACACACACACACACACGCACACACAATCCCCATCCCGGCTCTTACATTTGACATATCTGGCTCTGAGTCAGCATAGCGTTCTCCACAAAGTGGGGCAGCCCCCTCATAGCAGCCCCCGGGGGGGCATCCAGCTCCAGATGCATGCTGGGCCGCTCGTCCTCCTCCTGTCCGCCTCCCCGCGGCTCGTCCCTGTCGCCGGTCCCTGAGGCCAGCCTCCAGCACGCTTCAGGGTCGCCCGCAGCAGTCCCCCCCCGTGGTCCTCTTTCACTACTCCACTAAAAAAAGTTGCGTTTTACCTGGGGGTGCGCCGCCTGCCGTGGGAGCCCCCACACCGGAGATGTAATAAGGAAAGCCCAGTATTTCCAGTGTCACCTCGGGGGCACCCAGGAACGGACAGACACTCCAGCTTGTCACCCCTCCGTGGTGCGTCCTGTCCGTCTTCCCCCACCCCCTCCCCGGCTGATCTTCCTCTTCTGGTTACCCACCGCAGCCACCTTGAGCCAAAGGCAACACTGTTCCTCATTCGACAGACACCCCCCCCACACAAATGGTGACCCTCTCCAGCTTCCTGTCACACAGCTAGCCGGCAGCTCCCCTGCGAGGTCTCCGCCGGCCGCTCCTGTCACATGCTCCTCAGCGAAGCCGGGCGCCGCAGTTGTCGCCGCAGCAGCCGAGGATGGCGGAAAGTGAGACGTCCCGTCCCGAGGAGAGATGCCACTCCCGCATCTCGCCCGCTATGCCGCCACCGGCCAACCGTCCTGCTCTTTAACGCCGCTCAGAGTGAGCGAGGAACAGCCCGCGGCACTCCAGGGAGAGCGTGCCAGCACGCCTCAACGCGTGTGAGCAGCCAATCAGCCTTCACCTGGGCGTCGCTGAAACTCAGGCGCGGGGGTGCCCGAGGGGGGTTCCTTGCACCCGTCGCCTTATTGTTCTGCAACGGGGCCCTCTCAAGGGGGAGTCTCACTTTTCACAGCGACAGTCTTGTACTCACAGGGATTATGGAAACATCCGCTGAGAGAGAATCGTGCGTGAAAGCGATGTGCTTTCGTCATCGCCTGTAGACTTTACCGCCCCAAATATTTGTTCGAATGACACTAATTCCTTATGAAATTCAGTCAGTTCCAAAGCCAAACAAATGAACAAACATGCAGCAGAAATTGAAGCTTTCACGTAAGGGCATGCAGATCAAAAGCTAAAACAAATCTGTGCAGCTTGATCACTTCTGCCGAAACAGAGGGGCTGTTTTCTTGGTTGCCGTGAACCTGAAGTATCACGACTTTACAAGAAACTAAAGATTTCCCTGGAAATGACCATATATCACACTTCCTACGAAACTTTCAATACAAAAAAGGGAAAGAGGGTCACGTGGCCTGGTGGATTCTCTCAGAAGAGCGAGGTCGGACTCCCTTTGGAGTGCAGAGTATGTGGGTCATCGTCTGCCCGCAAACAAAACCATCTTAATGTCATATAGGCTGGGATTTCCTTCTAATCTGCGTGGATTTGCTGGTATGGAAACAGACAGATACACACAGGCAGGCTGTCGGCGGCACTTGTTTGCAGATCCAGGGGGGGGGGGGCTTTATATTGACTCACATTAAAGCCACACGAGTCCCAACTCCACCCTCGCAAGGATCAAAACGCAGATCTAAAAAGAAGCTCTGTATCGCTGCACAAGGACATATACAAAGGGCCATTTTTTACCCAAAATGTCCACACAAGGTCACAGAAACTCACACTAGCAGCTCCGGGGACATGCACACAATGGTGCTGGAAATCACTTACAGATTGCGCGCCCCCCCCCCCACAGATACCCCCATGTCCACCTCCAGATATTCAAATGCTACATGAAACATCAGCATTTCACATGGGATTCCTATCAGTAGCATTCCAGCCTGCATTCCGCAGCGACGGAATCGACCGCTGGTGAGCGAGATACCGGCACGCGGCTCTGCCGCAACTGTTGCTATTGGCGCGCCTCCCGCATCGCCATGACGACATCACGTGCGACAAGATCGCAGCGTGGGAGGAAAGCGCTCCCCCGTCTATTCCCTAACCCCTTCACCCGCTCACGGACACCGGTCACCCGACACCGCATCCCCTGCATCACGTCATAATGCTCAAAGTAGCTGCTCGTGCTTTGAAACGAATGGCCTCCCCATTTATGCAAACCCAGAACCTTCTGGTGTGGATTTGCGTTATAACCTGCCCAGACATACTGCTTTCAACATGGAACGGGAGCATGAAAAAATGCGTCATATTTGCCGGCAGTGTCTGAGAGAGGCGCAGATTTCTGAGAGCCGGGCAAGACAGCGCCCTCTGGCAGGGGGGGGGCGAGTCAGGTGACACTGCCCAGCTCTCTACCCTGAATGGAATCAGCGTACCCCCCGAGCCATCGGAGCACGGGTGGGGCCCAGACGTGCTCAGGCACGCCCTCGGAGAAGCGTGCACGCATTCAGGCTCGCCACGGGCGAGCAGGTGTGGGAGGAGGGCAGGGTGGGGGCGAGGACCGCCCTGAGCACAACGAAGCTGGCGGTGAAAGATCCAGATGGAGACTAGCGAGTAGAAGCAAAGGAGGCTTGGTACTGAACCGCCAGGACATCCCCCCCCACCCCACCACCACCCAGCATACTGAAACACCACATGCAAATGATTCCACGTGTCTTTCAGAAACTTCCACCGCATGAGTTAAGCCTGAGCTGGGCCGTCCACACAACCCATCCCGTGCTTGTCACCGCGTTGCATTTTATAACGCATCCTACAGGGGGCAGTGACGAACCCGCCCTTTCCGACGGCCGCGCTCCTCACGCCTTCCCTGGTGGCCTCGCGGGATTAACAGTTGCGGTTTCCGAACATGCGAGGAATTCCGCGGCGCGTTCCTGCAGTCGGCATCAGCCAGCCGCACTGCGCCGAGCCAACACCGTTCCGGCCCACAGTTTGGATTCCAACTGGGCTTGACGTGTAGCCAGCAAAACTCGGTCTGTCGAGGAAACTGCTAGTGGCGTGATGATCAGAGAAGTTAAGGGACGATGGCTTACAGGCTGGATGATGCAACCTGAAGCAACCTGATAACCTGGCTGAAGCCATACACCTTTCTGAGGGGACATCTGTCCACCATTGGATTCTGGCTGCAGGACTAAGGGCACACAAGCTGGGAGTGGGGGGGGCGGGCGTGTAACCTGAGGCCCGAGGACTAAGTTAGCTTCCTGTTTTCCGTCAAAAAATCCGAAAAGTCAGCAACTCTGCCCCCCCACCCCAATGGCACAAAGGAAGACGATGGCAGAGGAGGAGTCCGATGTGGAAGGTGGGAAAACGGACAGAGAAAGGCAGGATTGTTCGGCCGAGAGAGGAAGGAGGCGAACATTATGCAGGCCCTGGCTGCTTAGTGTTCATTCTCGGGTGTTGGGGGAGGACAAAAAAGGTCACTGGGCCAAAAAAAAAAACAAAGGAGAAAAAGCAGATCCAGCTATCACTCTAGGAATAAGTCAGTTATATGAACATCCTGAACAGTGTTCACAAGTAGTCTGTTCCAGATGACATTACCATTAGTTCAGCTAATCAACCAATCAAATTGCTTCATCAGTACATAATGTTTTCAAAGGTCAGCCGGTACAATGAAGGGGATGTGTAGGTGGCGGGGGGGGGGGGGGTGCCCGGGAGCTTACCTCCTGCTCAGCCTCCGCTCATCATCACTCCCCAAAACCTGCAATGAGAAGAAGGGAAAGGGGGGGGGGGATTTAAGGACATCAGGCTGCAGAGCACCAAGCCCCCCAAAGTCAACTTCGCCTCACTGCCACGAGGCAGCCACTGACATCCACAGGCCTAATTAACCCGTAAACAATTTCATCAGCTTACAGGAATGCGCCGCCTTGTTGGTGCCGAGGCGCGTCATGGCCCCGGGCCGGCCGTGTTTACAGCGCCGCGTGCGTTACATCACACCGCAACGTGTCCGTTCAGCGAGCTCCGGCCGAGAAAGTCAACACATGCTTCCAGAAAGGCACATAATAGGTGCCTGGGAGAGGACAGAAACTTCACGTTCAGAGAAGAGTGTAAATACGTATGCAGGGATCAGTAAGGAATGCTGACCGTGAGTTTAATGCTTCCTGTCCTCGGCTGTGGACCGACCTGAGCGGAAACGGCGTGCGAGGCCAGAGCATCCGCTCTGAGACGACTAAGGAGTAGCTGCGTTGCCCCCCCCGGACAAGACAGAACTTTATCGATCCCTTGGAGGGTTATCTTTGTTGCCAAGCAACATTACGATACATTGCAATATAAGCGGCTAGTCTCCAGCTAAGGTTAACGACAGGCCGTCACCGGCAGAATCAGCATGCACACTCTCACACGTGTGAGAATCTCTGGCGCTCCTGCCTCGCCGCAACCAATCGGCGTGCACACTTACGTGCACGATGAGGCGTCGACGTTAAAGCCAGCCGGGCCTTGATGAAATAAGGTGGAAATCAAAAGAAACACATCATTAAAACTCAACTGCTGGCCACAGCTCTGCAGTAATAGCGGCACTTTTTATATGGCGTGGGGGAGGGGCGGCGGGGTCTTCAGCTGTTTCCCATAAACACCTGCTCCACATAAAAACCGGACGTGGCGGGCGCCACATTCCCCAGAATTCACCAGCAGATCCAAAATAGGGACCTTGAACCCCTTTCCAAACACAAGGAAAATATTAAAACTAGTAGAGATGCTCTGACTGGCCGGCCGGGGACCGGAGGCTCATCTATTTCTGATACCAAACCGGTCCATTTTACTCATGCGCCACACGTTAGGAATTAGCCTCACAGTCGCATGCACACTCACAGCCACACGTTAACTGTGAGTGAAGACGAGAAAGCTGTAATACATGTAAAAACACAGTAAAAACGTTTTAGTGAAACTTTGACCCCCTGCGCTATAATGTCTGTACAGTATGAAGGTATGAAAAAGCCTGATCTTAAACTAGCTTACTAGCGATGTAGGAATAGTATTTGTATAACATGCGATGTTGGTATTAATATTACCCTGCGCCTATTATTTGGAAGAGAATACTACACTTCAGTTTTCTTAGGAGGTTTGTAACCTATGGACTTTTTATTTACTCGCCTTAAAATGAAGAGAAAATGGTCAATGTCGTGTAACCTGGTGAATATAAACATACTGGAAAATAAGTAAATGACATTTGTTTTGTTATTTAAATCTGTTGCACCTGCTCTTGCTTGGTAAAGTAAAATATGTCAGATAAAGTTGGGTGTACAGCAGCTCATTTTCAGGTAATTATTTGTACCTCCTTCCAGTCAGCACTTATTTTGAGACTTAAGTGAGAGAAGATCCTGTAACTTAATGTAGTTTGGGGAAAATTGTAAAGTTTCACAATTTCTTTTTTTTCTATCTTAGAAAGAAAAAGGCAAAAATCAGTACTGGCAGGTCACACTTGCATAAAATAGGGAATCGGAAGAAAATTGCAATTGCTGCATCACTAAAAACTAGGGATGGGCTGATCCACATGTTTTCAGTTCCAATCCGACTCCTATACACAACTGCCGATATCGATAGATTCCAATGCGTGAGCTTTTTTTTCCCTTTAATATTATCATTAGAGGTGCACCGATCCCACTTTTGCAGAACCACTACGATCCAGATATCCGAACAACGTCGGCCGATGAGTACCGATCTCATACCAGAGCTCTTTTTTTAAAACCACTAAATACATGTGAAAAACTGTACGCTAAGAAAGCTTTAATTAGGCTATTAGAAACATACAAAACATACTGTTCCACCTCATTTGTACATCTTGTTTTAAGCGTTTTTGAGGAATTTTGCAGTTCGATTTGAATATCTTCCAAGAGAGGATACGCAAGTGGCGAAATGCTTAAAATGTCCCACAATTTTTCTCCCACTGGCAACAACAACACTTACACTTCACTGCGACTGCAGCCCCTAGTCAGTGTATCACAAGCAGTAGTATCACAAGCTAGCGACTCCCAAAGCATACATTGCTTTTTTCGTTTTGTTTACTGTGATTTTCCACTAAACGCTACTTCCACCTCTAAAAAAAATTGGTTTTACAAATATTGCAAATCGCTGTTGAAAGTATAAAATACTCCCAGGTCATCACACTTTTATCTGATGTTACGCTCCTGCTGCAAAGAGTATGCACGTGACGTTACAGCAGGCTGAAGTCACTGCGCTCACACCCACTGAGTAGCAAAAACAGAGTGGCAGCGTTAACGTTCAGCTTGAATGCCACTAAAACACACCTAAAATGGGAAAGAGCTGTCATGCGATTGACTGTACAAATCGATTTAACAAGAAATACAATCAATCTTTTTACAGAGTGCCGAAAACTAAGTAAGTATCGGACGTGGATCGATCACATATTACCAACCCGATCCGTCTAATTAGGTATGGATGGGTGCTGATATTGATCCCTAATATCGGATCGGTGCACCTCTAATTAAAGTTTATTAGCCAATCGTGTTTTCATCAATCCATCTATCCGTTCATCCACCTTCTAAGCATTTATCCTTGTTAAAGACACATAAGGCCCTGGAGCTTAACCCAGGCAGCTGCACAAGGCTGGGCCATACAACCTGGATAGGATTCCAGTCCACAGCCACCATGCCACCCACGTGATTTTCAATTTCCAATAAATTCCAAATACAATGCCAATTCATGTTACATTTTTAAGATGCCCCCCCATCTTCACATCCACAAATCTAAAAGTTAATAAGTCACTCCCTAAGAACTACCCCACACAGCCTCTGTCATTTTCTAGCGTT